TGTCTCACCACCTAAACCACATCAGAAGTGAGTAATTCCTTCTTTTTCTCTTCTTTGATACTGAGTATTTGCTTGCCTAACACAGCGCTTGTGTCCAATATCAGTGACTCTTTGTGACCATCACTAACGGTCACTAGATTCTCATCTACATCAATCAACACAGGGCGATATCAGGGAGGACTTGTTTGTCATTTTAATTGATTTTAGATGTTCTTTGTCAGTAGGTGTATTTATATGTTTTTCTACTTTATTATTAATTCTCATTAAAATTTGTTACATTATCATTACCTGTTTGATTATTATAGACAGCTCCTATTTTGGGATTCCGTATTTTCGGGGAACTTTGCTTATTATAGATTGACGCTGGAACCCAGGAGTTTTTTGTCCATTTTATTGTTATTTGAGGCGCTTCTCCTTTCCCCATTTGTTATTATACTGTTATTTTGCTGTCGGTATTAGCCGATACCGAGTACCAATACCGGTGCTTCCTCTGGCATGGAGCAAGCTTCCCGGTCAATCAGGAAGCCGGGCGCTGAGTAATGACATGCCGCCCGCCTTCCTAATTGCCTGGGAAGCTGGCTCCATGTTGTGTGTCTGGCTCGATTGTGATTGATCGGGAAACTGGCTTCCCAGCCAATCAGCATCAATCCGGCTTCCCGGCCAATCAGGAAGCTGGGAGGCGAGTAATGACCCGCCTCCTGGCTTCCTGATTGACGGGGAAACCGGCTTCCCAGTCAATCAGCATCGAGCCAGCTTTGCAGCCAATCAGGAAGTCGGGTGGCGACTAATGACCCACCTCCTGATTGGCTGCAAAGCTGGCTCGATGCTGATTGCCTGGAAAGCCGGCTTCTCAGCCAATCAGCAAGGAGTCAGCTGTTTGGCCGGCTCGATGATGATTGACCGGGAGGCTGGCTTCCCAGCCACACACCATGGAGTCGGTGTCCCAGCCAATCAGGAAGCCGGGAGGCGGGTCATTACTCACCACCCAGCTTCCTGATTGCCCAGGAAGCCGGCTCCATGTTCCCCTACGGCACTGCCAGTTAGAGGAAGTCTTCCTCTGATCAGAAGCTCCGCTATCGGGGAAGGTATTGGAGCATTTGGGCGAGTACGAGCACCCGCCCATATACTCAGTATCGGCACCAATACAGATACTAGTATCGGTATCGGTGCATCCCTAGTAATAATTAATACAAAGCTGCATTCATTTGTGTCTTTTATATCTGCATGGGCTTCACCTTTAAAGAAGTGATTAAAGTTTTTTTTTCTAAAGTCATGCTAACGGAACACTTTCATTCCTCAGCATTCCAGGCATGTGTTGATGAGTCAGTGCCTATCGTATTATCAGAGCACTCTCATCCACCGCATTTGAATGGCTGCAGGGCTTCGCTCTTCCTCCTGGCTGCACATTGTCTCAGTATTGTTTGCTGAGAGTTCAGTGTAGCAGAGGTAACCGACCAGCCATGGTGAATAGGCAGATCACAGGTCGCTGGGTCTGTTACAAATGTTCATAAGAAGCCCATCAGACTGGGAGGGATGAGGTCATGGGTGGATTCAAGGGCATTTTGATCGGATGTCTAGGCCACAGCGAGAGAAAACACTAACTGGGATTAGGACTGGCTGGGTGGCAAACAATGATGCTGGTATTTTGCTGAGGACCATTCACAGTCAATTAACATTTCCTAACACTACTTAATAGGAAAAGTATAATGAATTTTCAGTGAACACATTTTCGGAGTTATTATTTCTTATTTACCTTGTCATTTTTGATGCGTCTTTTTACATTTGTATAAGCTTTTGCTTATAAAAAAAAGGTTAATTGATAACAATGATGATCTTTTGCCGGATGACTTAAAGGATGAACACCGCCCATTCTGTTCTTGGAAAATCAACATCTACCCTGACACATAATATTGTGATTATGGTGTCTGGTCTACCTGTGTGGATACAATGTTGGGGCATGTTCTTGACACCCAGTAGAACTGATTAACACCTGTGCAGATTCAATGACACCAAAGGATGGGATTAGTGTATACAACTAGAACTCCCATCCTGCTCTTGGACAGTCAACATGCAAATTCAATGGCACTAAAGGATGGGATTAGTGTATACAACTAGAACAAGGGGGTCCAAAACTTTCATACCTCCCATCGTGTTCTTGGACAACCATGCTTTATATGATGACAATGAGACATCACATGCATGAGACATCACATGATGTCTGCAAGGGCCATGGGGTGCAAATGGTGACCTGTAGCCATGACACGTTTCATGGTGATTATGCTGTCTGGGCTACCTGTGTGGATATAATGTTGGGGCATGTTCTTGACACTCAGTAGAACTGATTAACGCCTATGCAGATTCAATGACACCAAAGGATGGTAATAGTGTATACAACTAGAACAGGGGGGTTCCATAATGTTCATGCCTCCCTTCCTGTTCTAGGACAACCAATATCTGCCTTGACAGGTTTCATGTCGATGATGGTGTCTGGTCTACCTGTGTTTAGATAATTTTGGGGTATGTTCTTGATACTCAATAGAACTTCAACTGATTAACACCTATGCAGACTCAATGGCACCAAATGATGGGATTAGTGTATGCAACTAGTGTAATGCGTGTGGTGTCAGGTCCAAAACACTAGAACAGGGGGGTTCCAAGACTTTCATACCTCCCATACTGTTCTTGGACAACATCTGCCTTGACACATTCCATGGTAATTATAGTGGCTGGGCTACCTGTGTGGATATAATGCTGGGGTATGACACTCAATAGAACTGAAGATCTGTCTTGGATAGGCTATGATATGTCTTTAACATTACAGTCTAGTTGAATGTGACTACTACTAGCTGTACCATGACCTGGGTCAATGAGAACCTCAACAGACAAGCTCTTGCTTCCCTTTTTGTTATTTTATTACCTAGCAGGCTTAGTAGAGATAAATTATTGTCAGTGCACAAGTATTGGCCCACGCTATCCTGCTTTTTTTGGATGCGCCAAATAATAGTTCAATTAGAAGGGTCTGAAAAGAAAGATAAGACTAATGCACCAATTGTAAAGGAATCCCAAGAGCGATGTTTCACACACAAATTAGGTATATAATAATGAACTATACATAAAAAGCAAGATGAATGCAAAGGGGCCGATTTATAAATCTTCCGCTCAGCATATAGCTGGGAAAATGCTGCTGCACTATACTACCGCCACTAGATGGCTCTGAGGAGCATAGGAAATTCAGCGCCATCTAGAGGAGGTAGTGGCATGCGAAGGGCATGCATCCAGCTACAAGCTTCCTCTGAGGACAGAATGTTCTTCTTCCCTTGTCTGTACGTAAACCCAAAAGTTTCACTGACTTTTGATTAAAGCTATCTACAAATGCCAAACATAAAACCACGATACTTGAATATCTTCTGTATAACAGATGTTTCCATGTATGTCTGGACCGGTGGGTGTACATTCTTACAGCTATGGAAGAATGGAGGAGAGCAGTGCACATCTGGTGATGGTTTATCCCAAAGAAGAACAATACTGATCAACCAGTAACATCCAATGTGGTGCGGTGATCTGTGTCCAGTGGCGGGACCACTGGACACAGGAGTGCATATGGTGACATGGCCAATTTGACCATAACTGGCTGGATCGGGTGAACATCATCTTATGTCTGCAGCTACCTTCAACTGGGCTGCATGTGGACAATGTGAAAGGCAGGGATCTCCAGAGGATGATAATCGTGGTAGGCGATAAACACCAGATGGGAAGTAGGTCACTCAGCAGGTTTTGATATTTAATTGAGCACACTTAAATTTAGCTCAGAAAAAAAGCAATGACACGGAACAGAAAGCCATTGTCATCATATAAATAGCTTGCTTGTGCATTTAATGTACAGTTGCATAATTCCTCATTAAAAAAAAAAAATGACTTGTGATTGAACTCCATACACGTTAGCCACGTGTCAGGAGATTTCAGCTGAAGGGGGATAAGTGGTCAGGCAGAGCCGCTGCGGTCCTCTAAGCATTTTTGGTCAGGATTACATCACCAGTGTTTTGTTTGACCACATTATAGAGACCAGAGGAAACCCGAGGTGGAAGTTAATTTTGAAGAGATTATAATGT